CGGAGGACCCGGCGGCCCAGAGGATCCGCAGGGTCCTGTGCGTGGCCGAGAAGAACGACGCTGCCCGCGGGATCGCGGACCTGCTCTCCAACAGCAGAATGCGACGGGTAGGGACCCGCCCCCTCGCCGTAGGGACCTGCCCCCTCGCCCTGCTCGCGGCTTTCCTGGCACCGGGGCCACCGTGCAGCCTGGTCCCGGCCTGGGGGGTGACCTGGGCCTGCTGTGGCACCCCCAGCCTGTCAGCATGTGCAACAAATCCTCCTCATTTTGGCTCTGGCTGGTTCTGCCTGTATCAGGGCACGTGGAAGGCGTTCTGTGGTGGCCAAACACCACTTGCCAAAACATATCAGGGAGCCTCTGACTCCTTTTCCTCATGACTGTCAGAATTCAGCCCCTGGCTGTGCTCCCTCTGCGGGTCCTGAGCTCCATGCTGAGGGCTGCTGGTGCTGTTCCTCACTTTGCAGCATCCATGAAAGGCCACAGGAATAGAACCATCTGTTGGTATGGATTTCCCTGTGCCCCCTGCAGCGTCAGAGGTTTGCCCAAGTTCACATAATAAAGCAAAGAGGGCTTGGAGGGGAAAGGCTCAAAGATCTCTCTTCCCTGATGCTTTGTTTGGTGACCTTTAGCAGTTTGTGTAATCACTTGGTATTTCCAAGCTAAGGAACAAGATGGTGCTTCTAGACCAGAATTATACTTGAATCATACACTGGTTTTGGTTGAAGGGATATTTAAAGGTCACCTAGAACCCCCCTGCAGGGAACAGGGACATCTGCAGCTAGAGCAGGGTGCTCAGAGACACCTCCAACCTCCCCTGGGATGGTGCCAGGGATGGGGCAGCGACCACCTCTCTGGGCAGCCTGAGCCAGGGGCTCACCACCCTCAGTGGCAACAATTTCTCCCTTCTCTCTAGGCTAAATCTCCCTCTTTTAGTTTCAAACCATCCCCCCTTGTCCTGTCCCAACAGACCCTGCTCAAAAGTCCATCCCCATCTTTCTGCCAGTCCCCTGGCAGTCCTGGCAGGCCCTGAGAAGCTCCTTCCAGTGAATGAAAGGTGTTACTGAGACCCTGAGCACTGACAGGCAAGGAGAATACTGTAGGAAAAGCAGCAAATACTCAATCCAGAAACTTCCACAAGTCTCACTTGGGTGGAGTGTGCTCTGGGGGACGCAGAGCTGACACATTAATTGTCACTGGGGACAGGACAGTTGTTTGTCAGGATACAGCCAGCCAGCCTCCCTAAAAAATCCCTTCCCTGCTGTCTGTCATTGCTGTTGGTGGGGTGATGCCCCCAAAACCCCTTCAGGCGTGGTTTAAAACCCTCTCACCTTGAAAGGCACCATTTCAGGGTCTCCAGGGGCCATTTCCCTTCAGCCTGCTGCAGTCCCCTTGGGCACAGCCCCCAGTTTCTCCTCCCCCAGCCCTCATCCTGCTCTGCTGGGAGCCAGAAACTCAGCAGCTTTCCTTTCCCTTCCAGCGAGAGGGGTTCTCCAAGTTCAACAAGATCTACGAGTACGACTACCAGATGTTTGGCCAGGTAGAGTTTCCTTTCATTCTACTGCTGGATGAGAGATGTGCAAAATCCTAATTATGGAAAAAAATCCCCCAATGTTTGCCAGAAGTTACAAAACACCTCCTGTGGCAGGGGCATTTTGTCCAAAGATGAGGAAAAGTCATAGAATCATAGAATCCTTTAGGTTGGAAGGGACCTCCAAGAGCATCAAGTCCAACCATTGAGCCACCAGGGCTCTAAAGTCCTCTGCTCAAACAGATCAGAATCTGTCAGGGCTGGAAGGGACCACAAGGATCCCCCAGTTCCAACCCCTCTGCCATGAGCAGGGACACCTCCCACTAGATCAGGCTGCCCAGAGCCTCCTCCAGCCTGGCCTTAAAGACCCCCAGGGATGGGGCCTCAACCACCTCCCTGGGCAACCCATCCCAGGGTCTCACCACTCTCCTGGGGAAGAACTTCTTCCTCACATCCAGCCTGAATCTGCCCACTGCCAGCTTTGCCCCATTCCCCCCAGTCCTGTTGTTACTCCATATCCTAAAAAGTCCCTCCCCAGCTTTCTTGTAGGCCCCCCTAAGATACTGGATGTTCTTTTCTTGGCTCAACCACTTACCTGTTTTATTGCTCCAAGTCTTTCAACTTTCTGAGTTTATCAGAGTGAAAAAAAGATTGCAGTTTAGAATTGGGAGGAGAAGGCTGTAGATGCAGCTGTTGGTAGGGAGAAGAGCTCGTTGTGATCTATCAGGAGGAGGGGGGAGTCCCTGGCTGTGTAAACTGAGAACTGCATCAAGACCTTGGGGCTGGGGGTGGGTTTTGGCAAAGGCTGGGCACTAATCCCCCTGCTCTGTCCCTGCAGAACGTCACTGTGGTGATGACATCTGTGTCTGGACACTTGCTGGCTCATGACTTCAAGATGCCATTCCGCAAATGGTCAGTACTGAGTCCCCCCTGCAGGAAAGGGGGTGTCCCCATCTGTCTGCAGCCCTGGCCTGAGTGCAGCCAGGCCATAAGAATATAAAGAAGAGCTGAAATATTGCTTCAAATTACTCTTCTCAGAGTGCTAAAAACCCCCAAAGTCATTCTGGTTGAAATAATGTTAAGCCAGACTCAAGGGATTAAACTGATTCCAACACTTGATCATAGAATCATTAAGGTTGGGAAAGACCTTCAAGATCATCAGGTCTAACCATTAACCTAACACTACCCTGAGCACCAAACCATGTCTTAAAGTACCACATCTACATGTGTTTTGAACTCCTCCAGGGATGGGGACTCCAGCACCTCCCTGGGCAGCCTGGGCCAATCCTCACCACTCTGCCAGGAGAGAAATTCTTCCTAATATCCAATTGAAACCTCTGGCACAAATTCAGCCCATTGCCTCTCATCCTATTGCTAGTTAATTTACTTGGGAAAACAGACCAACTCCCACTTCACTCCAGCCTCCTTTCAGGGAGCTGGAAAGAGCCAGGAGGTCTCCCCTGAACCTCCTCTTCTCCAGACTAAATACCTCCAGGTATTTAGGACCTCCAGGTCCCTCAGCCACTCCTCATAAGCCATTTTCCCCCAACCCCTCACCAGCTTGTTGCCCTTCTCTGGACCAGCTCCAGCCCCTCAAGGTCTTTCTTACCCCATTGCACCCAAACCTGACCCCAGGGCTCAGGCTGTGGCTTTGTCAGTGCCAAGTCCAGGGGCACAATCGCTTCCCTCCTACTGGACACACTAGTTTTGATCCAGGCCAGGATGCTGGTGGCCTTTTTGGCCACCTGGGCACACTGCTGGCTCATGTCCAGCTGGCTGTCCACCAGCACCCCCAGGTCCTTTCCTGCCAGGCACCTTCCAGCCACTCTGTCCCACCCTGGAGCATCACAGGGGGTTGTTGTGGCCCAAGTGCAGGACCCAGCACTTAACGTGGATGTTTGCACGTTCTTTGTTCCACCAGCAGCAGTCCCAGGAATCAAGGTGCCTTCTCCACCTTCCCTCCCCTTGGTTCTCTGCACTTGAAATCAGAGAAGTTGCTTGTTTAGGGTGGCCTTCCAGATTTGCTCTTTTCTCTGGTCGCTTTTTGATTCAGTTGCTTTTAAGAGCCACTCAGCATTTCATGTCAGCTCCAAGCTGTTTAAGATGAGGCCCAGGATTGAGTCCAGCACTTTAAAAAGTGCTTTCTCACAAGACAGCACCAGTTGGTGTCGCACATGTGTTCTGGTTTTTGTGACACATACTGTTTGTCCTTTGTTTGCCAGGCATAGCTGCAATCCTCTGGCTCTTTTTGATGCTGAAATCGAGAAGTATTGCCCTGAAAATTATGTGGATATCAAGGTAAGTTGTTTTCAAGAGTCTCACTGAAACTCTGAATTCAGAGATTAGTTCTGCAAATACTGTCTCAGACAGAAGGGTGATTGTACCTTTGTCCTGAGTGTCTGAGTTGTAGAGTTTAGCAGATTCCTCTTGCATTTCCTAGGACTCTCCACGCTGTTCATTTGTGATGCTGAGTCTCCTGCTCGTGTACAATTAACACAGTAACAGAACAACTCCTTTGCTAAAAGTAGAAGTGGTTTTTTTTCCCCCAACAAGGTGGAATTGGTACTTGTGTCTCAATTTTACCAAAAAATGACATTTTCAGAAAACAGCCTGTGGGACAATCCAATCCAAGCCCTGCTTTTTTAACAGTTAACTGTAAATAAATGACTCAATTCCTTTGAAAGCTGCCTAATCTCATGAGAGACACGATTACAAAATGTTATTGCAACCATCTATCTCTATGGATACAGGCTGCCTTTCGTGCTGGGTTTGTGAGTCATTCTAAGCAGAAATGACAAAGCCTGTGGCCTGGCCTGTCTCACTGTGCTTTGTTCTCCCCTCTCAGAGAACCCTTGAACGAGAAGTCCAGCAGTGCCAAGCTCTGGTCATCTGGACCGACTGCGATCGAGAGGGAGAGAACATTGGCTTTGAGATAATTCATGTGTGCAAAGCTGGTGAGTGGAGAGCTTCAGCCTCAGTCCCGTTCACCTGCTGCTGTGGCAGGTACTGCTGCTCACAGATCTCCCACCAGGCCTTTTCTCAGTCTTACTGTGTCCAGGTTAAGTATGTTGACTGTAGTTCTCATAAATCATAGAATCACAGACTGGTTTGGGTGGGAAAGGACCTTTCAAGGTCATCTGGTCCAGCCCCCCTGCAGGGAGCAGGGACATCTGTAACTAGAGCAGGGTGCTCAGAGCCCTGGCCAACCTCACCTGGAATGGTTCCAGGGATCCACCACCTCTCTGTGCAACCTGGGCCACGGTCTCACCACCCTCAGTGTCCAAAATTTCTTCCTTCTCTCTACTCTAAATCTCCCTATTTTAGTTTCAAACCATCAGCCCTTGTTCCTTTCACAACAGACCCTGCTAAAAAATTGTCCCCATCTTTCTGACAGGCCCCTTTAACTACTGGAAGACCCCCAGAAGGTCTCCCTAGATCCTTCTCCAGGCTGAACAACCCCAACTCTCTCAGCCTGGCCTCCGAGCAGAGGGATTCCAGACACTGGATCATTGTTGTGATCTGCTCCAACAGGTCCATGTCCTTCTTCTGCTGAGGAATATGTGGCTCTGACAGACCAGAAACACCTTTAGCTATGGGACAGCTATAGAAGCAGTTGACAGCTCTTGCAAAGACAGCTGTTCATTAGTTCCTCCTTTCCACTGGTGTTTGAATGGCTCTTTGATTTCAATTTCTTTTTTCCTGGCAGTAAAGCCAAACCTGCAGGTGTTCCGAGCCCGTTTCTCAGAGATCACACTCCATGCTGTCAGAACAGCCTGTGAGAACCTCACCCAGCCAGACCAAAAAACCAGCGACGCCGTCGACGTCAGGCAGGAGCTGGACCTCAGGATAGGTTGGTAGACACGTGCTGGAGGTGAGAGCAGCTGCCAGGCCCGAGCTGCTGCCTGCACATCTTCGAAGGGGAAGTGAGGAAGAGTGTGCCAGGTAGGCAGGGGACAGCTTTGTGATCAGTGGATAGCTTATTGTCTGTAAGTATGTGACCTCCTTCAGCCTGCTGTCCAGACGAGATCAGCTCTGCATCAGGCTCTTCCTCACCTCTCACCTCACCACACTGAAGCCCAGCAAGGGGTGTTCAGAAATCATCTGCTCCTCTGTCCCCAGCATGAGACAGGAATGGCCTCTATAGGGTTGGAAATCATAGAATCCTTTAGGTTGGAAGGGACCTCCAAGATCATCAAGTCCAACCATTGAGCCATTAGGGCTCTAAAGTCCTCTGCTAAAACAGAGCAGAATCTGTCAGGGTTGGAAGGGACCACAAGGATCCCCCAGTTCCAACCCCTCTGCCATGAGCAGGGACACCTCCCACTAGATCAGGCTGCCCAGAGCCTCCTCCAGCCTGGCCTTAAAGACCCCCAGAGATGGGGCCTCAACCACCTCCCTGGGCAACCCATGTCAAGGTCTCACCTGGTTAGATCAAATGCAACTAAGTCACATCTTGTGTTTTACTGAAAATGTGCTCCTGGAAGAAAAACTGTTTGGTTTATAACTCACGTGGCACTGACAGGCTTCTGCAACTGGGTAGTAAAATTAGAGTAACATTAATACTCAGAGTATGGAAAAGGACCATCTGAAGTGTTGTGATTCTCCTCCAGTGTTGCATTAGCCAGTTCTGGTGTCCGTTTTGTTTTCTCAGGTGCTGCCTTCACCAGATTCCAGACGCTGAGGCTCAGGAAGATCTTCCCTGATATTTTGGCAGACCAGCTGATCAGCTATGGCAGCTGCCAGTTCCCCACCCTGGGGTTTGTAGTTGAACGTTTCAAAGCCATCCAGGCCTTTGTTCCTGAAACCTTCTATAAAATCAAAGGTATGCTTGGGGAAAGTGAGTCCTGGGCTCCATCTTAAAGGGTTTGGTGTGTACAGAAAGGGGGAACACACAAACAGTGCTGCAGAGGTGGTTTCCTCTCCCTTTGCCATGAGCACTGAGCAGAACTGAAAGGTTCCCCCATCACCTGGCCCCTCTGCCCCTGTGGCTTTTCCCTCCTGTGACTCCCATGTGGCTCAGATGTGTTGTTCAACAGTGACACACGATCAGGAAGATGGCAACGTGGTCTTCAACTGGAAGAGGAACAGGCTCTTCAACCACACAGCCTGCCTGGTCCTTTACCAGATGTGTATGGAGGTAGGAGAGCTTGGGAATCATGTAATCCAGGCTTGGCCAAACATTTCCTGTGTCCACCTCACTCGAGATGTTGGAAGAACATCTGTTGGATGTTTGTGACACCTCTTAAAGGAGACTCTGTGTTCTGCTTACTCCCTCCTTAGGATCCAGTAGCAACTGTCGTGGAGGTGGTGAGCAAGCCAAAGAGCAAATGGAGGCCCCTGCCCTTGGACACTGTGGTATGTTTGAGAGGACTTACCTGAAAGAAGCTTTGAATGGGTCTTGTCCTCACCACTCTGAATTACACACAAATATTTCCTTTTTTTTTCCATTTCTGGCTCCTCCCACCACAGGAACTTGAGAAGTTGGCCTCCCGCAAACTGAAAATAAACGCCAAGGAAACCATGAGAATAGCAGAAAAACTCTATACTCAGGGGTGAGTAAAGCAAAGCTTGGCTTGGTCAACTTAATTCTTTCAAAAGTAAACAGCCTTGACTCCAAAACAGGAAGGATCTTGGAGCACCCCTTCACAAAGTGCTCTCCTGCCTCTCTCCTTAAGGTTCATTAGCTACCCCCGAACCGAGACCAACATTTTCCCCAAGGAGCTGAACCTCTCTGCCTTAGTACAACAGCAGACCCAGGACCCCAGCTGGGGAGCATTTGCACAGAGGATTCTGGATCAGGGTGGGCCAACCCCTCGGAATGGAACCAAATCAGACCAGGCTCACCCTCCCATTCACCCCACAAAATACACCGCCGGCCTGCAGGTGAGAGCAACAAAGGCAGAGGTGTAATAATCACTGACAAATAAAGATAGAAGTCTTAATAACGTGGTCATTAGCACAGTATCATCACCTGAGATCTCTCTGATGCTTCTTGACCTTCACCCAGGAGGACACTGATGATTTCTCACTGTTTGATGTTAGGGCAACGAGCAGAGACTGTACGAGTTCATCGTGCGCCACTTTTTGGCTTGCTGCTCTCAAGATGCCAAGGGACAGGAGACAACTGTGGAGATTGACATTGCTAACGAGCGATTCATTGCTCAAGGATTAATGATCCTGGCCCGAAATTACCTGGAAGTCTATCCTTATGAGAAGTGGAGTGATAAGGTAATGCCCTTGGATAATGGAGATGGGCTAAAAGTACCCCGAGTTTGAAATCACACTTCACTGCCCACTTCAGACCCCTCTGCAGAACACCCTGTGACAATTGCTGGCCCACTGACTGGTTCACTCAGCCACCTCTGCTGGAAATCTGTGGAGCTTTATTGTGCCAGCTTTGGATAGATTCTTCCCCTTCTGACACCATACAGAGCTGTGGGGTTGAGTTTACTCACCAAGAGGAGCTGCAGGTGCTGTTCCCTGGGCTCTCACTCCTCATTACTAGCTAATCCTGAGGACCCTGAGACTGGGTCTCCCCCAAAACAGGGTGCTGCTCTGCTGCTGCACTGGCCTGCTCTTAGCATGACGTTTTATCTTCAGTGAATGGACCAGAAGGCAACTTCAAAGAGATTCTCCTTCCCTTCAGGTTATCCCACTGTATCAGAAAGGGTCTCGCTTTCAGCCCACTACAGTGGAGATGGTGGATGGGGAAACCAGCCCTCCATTGCTCCTCACAGAAGCGGATCTCATTGCTCTCATGGAGAAACATGGCATTGGTCAGTATTGGCAGCGTGGCCTTTCACTCTTGGGAGAGCTGTCTTCATAAGCTTCTTCTCAACTTGCCCACCACCAGTTCTGTCCTGCCCTCAGAGCAGGGAGTTCTCTAAATGCCCCTTCAGAGAAGAAATCACTTAAATGTACAGAACAAAGGGATAGTAGAGACCCATGGGCAAAGTCCAGAGATCCTAAGGAGTCTGCAGAGCACCTCCAGTACCTGTGGAGACGTGCAACATAGGGCCCAGCGTGTGCCTGCCAGCACCCCAGTGCCAGTGGGACACGAGGGCAGTGCTGCTCCCCATCATAACTCCTCTCCTTGTCCCATTAGCACCTTGCTCTCCACACTAGGCACGGGGGAGGTGGTTTCCTGGCACCCAACTGGCAGCCTCTCTGCTTCCAGGGACTGATGCCACCCACGCCGAGCACATTGAGACGATAAAGACGCGGATGTACGTGGGCCTCACGGCCGACCAGCGGTTCCTGCCAGGCCACCTGGGCATGGGGCTGGTGGAAGGTGAGGGCACTGCCCCTTGGGAAGGTGACAGGATCCTTCCTTGCTCTTTCCTTGTGCTTACTGCACGACGTGTTCCTCAGGCTATGATTCCATGGGCTACGAGATGTCCAAGCCTGACCTTCGAGCTGAGCTGGAGGCTGATCTGAAACTCATCTGTGAGGGGAAGAAGGACAAATCTGTGGTGTTGCAGCAGCAGGTCCAAAAATACAAGCAAGTCTTCATTGAAGCTGTGGCCAGAGCCAACAAGTGAGTCCTTTTTGTCTTCTTTGTCCTCTTCTCTTTGTTGTCCTGGGAAGTGCTGGCTTCTCCTCTGGGGTTCAGCCTGGAGTGGGATCCAGTCACACTGGTTCCCTGGAGCTCTGCCAAGCCTATGGGGGCATTTGCATGGGAAGGTGACCTGCAGCCTGGCACACTCTCACAAGCTGGTGGCAACTAACTGCTCCTGTTGGTTTAAATGCTCCAGATTCAATTTTGAGCTGGCTGAGGGTGACAGCAACTGACCTCTTTCATGTTGTACCCACACGTTGCACGTTCCAGAGGCGTGGAGCTGAATCAATGTGCTCGTGGAGAAGCTCAGAAGGGCTGTGGGGAGGGCAGCAGGCACTAATTCACTGCAGAGGAGACCCACAAGTTCCTCTGCTTGTTTCTTTACAGGCTGGATCAGGCCCTGGCTCAGTATTTTGGGGAAGCTGCAGAAATTGTGGAGCAAGAGGAGGTCTACCCAGCAATGCCCGTCCCCGTGCGGAAGTGTCCGCAGTGCAACAGCGACATGGTCCTGAAGACCAAGAAGAACGGGGGGTTGGTGATCTTCTTGTGGTAGCAAGTAGCCTTCCCTGTTGGTTTGTGTTTTCCTAGGTGTTGGTCCCTTACCTCCCCTCTGCAGCAAGCATGAAAACCTGAGCTGCAGCTCCCTAACTCCACCAGCTATGTAAGCTGGGTGGGCTCAGCTGAGCCCCTCTCTCGAGTGCTTATTCACCCGTAAAGATGGTCAGTTTGGGCAGTTCCTGGAGAGGCTGAGGAGACAGGAGAGCAGACCACTGACTGCCTTGGCTTTGCCCCTTCCTCACCCAGTGCCTTTCTCCCATGATAGGTTCTATCTCAGCTGCGTGGGCTATCCAGCCTGTAAAGCTGCTGTCTGGTTCCCTGACTTCGTGCTGGACGTGGCCAGGGATGAGAGTGTCTGTGCTGAGTGCAAACCACATCCAGTTCACAGGTAGGTCAGGCCAGTCATCCTGTGGGGCAATGTGTTAGCCATTGGGGCTGCTGGCTTCCCTGGGCTAGGCTGGGCAACTCGTCCATTCCAGTTTTGGAAAGCTGGAGCAGTGCTCTCGTGGGGTTAGAAAGAAGGCTTGGGGAAACTGGTGTAAGCCTAGGAGAATTTAAAAATTAAAATAAAAAAAAAAACAAGTCCACATCAAGGTCTGGTGACAATGAGGTGTTTTATCAACTGGAGCCTCGTTCTTTCTTCCCTTCCAGACTGAAGTTTAAATTCAAGAGAGGCAGCGTTCCACCCGTGATGCCCCTGGAGTTCGTGGGCTGCATCGGGGGCTGCGATGAGATGCTCAAAGAGCTCTTGGACCTGAAGTATTTACACAGGTCATCCCAAACCACATCAGCCAGCCAGCAAACCACCCACCTGCAGCTCAGCAACGCCTTCAACAGAGCGAGCAGCGAGAACAGGCAGGCGAGGGGGACCACAAACCCAGCTCTGGGGCGTTCACTGCCCTCCAGCTCAACGAGGGCACCTCGACCTGCTCCCTCAGCAGCTGCAGAGGATGGAAACGAGGACAGGGACAACGCAGTGACCTGCAACTGTGGGCAGGAGGCCCTGCTCTTAACCGTGCGCAAAGAGGGCCCCAACCAGGGCCGGCGCTTCTACAAGTGCAGCGACGGCGCTTGCAACTTTTTCCTCTGGGCTGATGAGCAGTCTGAGAACAGAAGCAACTCAGCTCCCCGGGGCTCCACAGCCAAGGGCCCGGCAGGATTTCGGCTCCCAGGAGGAGGGAGAGGCCCGGAGCTCTTGGGAAGCCACAGCTCAGGTCCGGGAGGGGCCGCGGTCTGCGACTGCGACCAGCCGGCCGTCACACGCACCGTCCAGAAGGAGGGGCCCAACAAGGGCCGGCAGTTCCACACCTGCTCCAAGCCCCGGGAGCAGCAGTGTGGCTTCTTCCAGTGGGCAGATGAAAACCTGGCGCCAGGTAAGGCTGGAGGCTGGTCTGTGAAGCTAAACACCACACTCCTCACGCCCGCGTGCCGGTCGCGCAGCGTGACAGCTCTTGCCGTGGAATCGTTGAATTGGTTGGGTTGGAAGAGCCCTTTAAGACCATCAAGTCCAGCTGTTAACCCAGCACTACCAGGTCCCCACTGCCCCGTGTCCCTCACACCACATCTCCACGGCTTAGAAACCCCTCCAGGGTTGGGGATTGCACCACTGCCCTGGGCAGCTCTTGTGGGGAAGACACTTGTCCTTGTGTCCAACCTAAACCTCCCCTGAGGCAACTCATACATCTAACAGACTTCAGGTCTGGCTTTAGAACATGTCAGCAGCACAGTAGCCCTTCAAATGTCACTTGTAACAACAGCCTGGCTTACCTTTCCAAGTGCTGGCAGGATGTGTCCTCATAGCACACATCTGAGCCCCGAGCAGGATGTTTGGCTTCTACATGCAGTAGCTTGAGCACCTGGCTGTCCATGACCCATTGGATAAAGCCCAGCACTGTTTCCAACAGCCTCCTTGGGCATTTGCCCTCCCAAATAATGGTGCTTAGCTTTGCAAGAGCCATTACTGACCTGGTACAGAGCTGAAGCAGTGGCACTGCTTTTGTAAACCTCAGACCCCCTTCTGTCACACCAGGGAGACCGAGCTGCTCCCTCTGCCCCACTTTAGGAAGGCAGCAAAAGGCCAAGTCTGAAGCTTTGATCAGAGCTGAGAAACAGTGTGGCTGCTCTGGAAAAATGCTGAAAACAAATACTCACAAAAAACAAACCCACAACACCCAGAACACACAACATAAGGACACAAAAGACCAGCAGTGACACAAAGGGAGAGTGAAGTACAGAGGTGGAGATGTGGTCCAAGAGATCTCCAGCACTGGCCTCCTCAAACATTTGGGCCTAAAGGCCTAGAATCAAGTTTTCAAAACCAAATTTTCCTCTGCCATGTTTTGTTGTTTCTGCTTCAGCTGTAGACCAGAGCATGCACCAGGCAGATCTTTTTGTTCTGTTCCTGCAGCTCTCTCATGCTGCAGGACAAATGGGCAACATGTAACTGTTCAGGTGAATCTGAAGCAAATGTAGTTTCAGGAATAAACCAAGTGGCTGGGGTAGTAAAATACTTTATTTGCCATTGCACCAGGCAGATCTTTTTGTTCTGTTCCTGCAGCTCTCATGCTGCAAGACAAATGGGCAATGTAACTGTTCAGGTGAATCTGAAGCAAATGTAGTTTCAGGAATAAACCAAGTGGCTGGGATAGTAAAATCCTTGATCTGCCATTCTGAACTTCCCTTCATTTTCCCACCTGCTTCTATTTTCCAAAGGTACTTAAAGGGCTTTTGTTTCTCTTTAGGGCCTTCTGGAGATGTCTCTATGAACAACTTTGGCAGCACTGGATACTCAAGAGCACTGGGAAGTAAAGCCAAGAGACCAAATGGTCCCTCCTCAGGAACCACTGCCAAGAAACCACGGACCTGCAGCATCTGCCACCAGCCTGGCCACACGAGGAAAACCTGCCCTCAGAACCACTGAGCCTGGGGGGCATCTCTCCAGAGCCTGGAAGGCCCAGGGTTGGGAGCTGCTGCATGAGCATCTACAGCTGAGAGGAGCTGGAGTCTAGGAACCAGCCTGTGGGTGGTTTCTGGGAGGGCTGGTGGCAGGCTGTGCCTGGCAGGTGATGCCACCCTCAGCACGAGAGGCCTGGGGCTCGGCCAGCTTTGGAAGGTGCCTCCACCCCTGGAGGTCAACCAGCGTTCAGCTGCTCTCCTGCTGAGCATATTGGGGTAGTCCAAACATTTCAAGGAAGCCTCTAGAAACTGAATCTGCAGAGCAAACACCCCTGGATCTCCTCCAGCTGCCCCAGCAGGGTCATACCCAGCCCTTCCCCACGAGGAGGGGTGGGATGGCAGCCGTGAGGACAGACACACCCCCTGGCTTTCCACGGGGTGCAATCTGGCTTCAATTTCCCTCCTGAGGTTACCTGAGCAACGCTGGCTTCTGGCTCAGTGCCACAGCCCTCACCTCGGCGTCCTGCCCGTGGAGGAGCTGCACTGGTGCTTGCCCAGAAAGGGAAACTCTGCTGCAGCCTTCACCTCAGTTCCTGGATTTGTCCCCAAGTTCTTCCTCAGACCTTGAGATGAGCCCCCGTGACGCTGCTGGCGAATGGAAGTCGTTTGTGTCAAGCTGTTAAGTTTCTTATTAAAAGATTATTTAATTTTTAAATGGGACACAGTGACATCTTAATGCTGCCTCAGTGCTTCGCCCTACTTAAAATAGTTCCACTATTCCTGTAAAAGCACCCACCCAAATCTTCCTCTTTCCACTCACTCATCGGAAGGACAGAGCGGCTTTCTTGGCAGGAGCTCCCTGCAGTTATTTAGCAGTGAGCTGCAGAGGGGCAGGGAGAGCAGCAGCAGCAGTTTTCTCTCAGCAGCTGCATGTGCTGTAGCATTGCTGGCCCAGGGATGGACAGCCAGCCAGCCAGCCAGCTGCCTGAGCTGAAGGGAGGGTCTGTTTTCCTGCACTCCATTTACACAGAGCTCCCTGGGAAGCCAGGCTGCCTCCTCCCTTCTCTGCTGGGGCTTCCTCTTTACTTCAAAGAGTAGATGCACAAGATTCCTGAGTCACCTTCTGCCAAGGGCAGCGTTGTTCTTCCCCCAGGGCCTCTGGTGCTGCTCAGGACTCTGCTCCTGGACACAGGGACAGCATAGAGGCTGAAACTTTCTACAGAGGGCAGCTCAAAGCAGAGGAGGCCACAGCAGCACAGGCTTGCTCTGAGGTCTGCACGAGAGGAGAGCTTTTACCTCTGCAGCAGCCATTGCTGCCAGGCCTAAATCCATGGAGTAAGGTCAGGAGAACCTGGATTTCATTTCCCTCTGCCCCTCACTCCCACGATTAACAGCTGTGGCCTAAAAATACAGACCTGATAGCTAAAATATCAGGATTACGAGGCTCTGTAATGCAACCCCGTGCTGGCAGAAGCAGGGCAGGGGCCTGGGCAGCAGGTGATGGCAGCAGGAAGCATTTGGTGGCACCAGGGCAGGAGGGGAAGCGTTGGTGGCATCAGCTGCCACCAGCTTTCCTGGGCTAGCCCAACGTTTGGGCAGAGCTGCTGGGTAAACAGCACAAGCTCAGTGTCCACATGGCTTGTGCACTGCAGCCAGCCACTGGAAGAGGAGGAGGAGGAGGAGGAAGGCCTTGCAGGGTGGGGCTGACCCCCACCAAGCTCTCCAGGCAGAGCAGGGGACACCCCCAGGTGGTTCTCAGTCAGACCACTGCAGCAGGAGGATCACTCCATGGGAAAGGAAACAACAGGACCCAGAGTACACGGGGAGGGTTTATTCTCATCTCTGACACCTGGGAAGTGGTTTGGAGCAACAAAATCCTTTCAGACTGGGAGGAAAAGCTTCATTTCCTCCCACAAACGAGATGATAGCTGTAAAGAAAACGAAACCACAACAGCTGCTCACAATGAACTCCACAGGAATCTTTCCATCTTCTCCACCAGTGTGCAAAAACAGCTCTTCCCATTCAGTGTTCAGAACATACTCCTTTGCTCTGGGACTACAGCCAGAACCAAAGCTTGCTAGCAGCCACTCAAAGGAAAAAAAACACAACAAAAACACCCAAACAAAACATACCTTCTTAATAAAAAGCATAAACCACTTCAGTTCTTGCCAGAGCTCTACTCGGAGCATCCTTCTGCCCCACACCCTGGGGCTTGGGGGGGAACAGAACCTCAAGACAGCAGCAATACACGTGTGAAAAGTCACTGGGCAGGCTGGAAGGGGACGCCGTGTTCTGTGCCCACAGAGGGAGGCTGGCAGTGCCCCCCAGGGAGGGGACACAGCCCTGCTGCAGCCCCCACCCCGGCACCACCACCAGGAGCCTCCCGGGAGGCAGCAGCTCTCTCCCTGCCACCACCTCCCCTCAGGACATCTTCCAGCAAAGCCCCACTGTGGGACAAAGGCCACGAGGGGACGGTGCCACACTGGGAGCACAGAGCTGATCCTGGCAGAAGGCAGGGGCAGGGCTGAGCTCACCCCTTTTGGCAGCTGGAGAGCAAACCCAGCACCCCCTCTGCCGTGGCTGGGCCTTTGGGTGCCCAGACAACCACCCAGGTCACCCTGGGGGCCTGGATTCAGGTTGGGGATATCCTACAGAGAGGGATGAGGCTCCTGCCCTGTCCCAGGGCTGCGAGGAGCATGGCACAGTAGGACCAAGCTGGGTGCTGGTGAAAGGACCCAGCCAGGACACAGCAGCAGTGAGGAACTGTTCCCCTCCAGCTCCAGCTGCTCTTGGCAGGCGAGGGGAGCCCGGCAGCCAGGGAGGGCAGGGGACACCAGGAACTGGAGACCAAACATGCTTCACATCAGCTCCCAGCCACCAAGACTCGCCTGTAGGAGCTCAAGGCATGGGCTGCACTCACCCTGGGTCCAGCAGAGCCTCCCAGCCCATAGCTCCTTACACCCACACCTGCCTCTGCTCAGGCACGGTTTATTCAGACAGAAAAAATTGTTTGTTTTTTTCTCATAAAGTGCAAAAAATTGTCTCTTACTGACTAGTCAACTAGAAGCATCGCAACCCTCACAACGGGTGAGGAGGAAGTGACCTGGCCCTCAGGAGCTCCTGGTGCACTGGTCACTTCTCCTTCAGACGGAGCTCTGGCTCAGATACAGCTCTGTAGAGCGTGAAGCCCATCTCATCGATCTCCTCTTCCAGCAGCTCGCAGAAGAGGTTGATTTTGGGGTTGAAATAGGAAGGCAGGACCCCTTTCTCCAGGTAGCCCACCAGCTCCTCGAGCACCTGCAGGAACCTGTCAGCAAGGCTTTCTTCTGCCCAGTCCAGGCCGGTGGCACTGAGGTGCAGGACGACGTGGGTCAGGGGGCTGCCCCTCAGTCTGTGCAGGGCAGGGTGGCTCCTGCAGACGCCGTTCAGGAGGCGGAGGCAGCGCTGCCGAGCACCCGAGTCCCCGGCGTCCAGCTCCTTCACCAGGGACACCTCCGCCCTGGAAAAGCTCTCCAGCCAAAGATTTTCCACCAGTCCTTCAGGAGGAGCAGCCAGAAGAACCCTGTCGTCCATTTCCACCACTGGGAAGAGGGTGATGCTCAGCTCGACCTGCTCGTGTTTGACTTCCAGCTTGAGCTCCTGGGAGGCCACGACCGGGTGGATGACGCTGCCCAGCAGGCTGCCTATGGCAGGCCAGTTGATGGAGGCCACCAACAGCTTATGCAGGGTCTCGTTGAGAGCATTGGAGGAGAGGTACCTGCCCACGATGAACCTGTCCCAGGGGCTGCACCCACGAGGGAAATACTCCAGATCAGTCCTCTTGATCATCCAGTACCGGGGGTTGCTCACCACGGTGTCCTCTCCCGGGATGAGGCTCCAGAGCGCGGCGTCGAGGGCCACGGGCAGCATGAGGTGGACGTGGTCAGCTGCCAGAGCCTCGAGGCCATCGAGGAGGGGACCACTGAGGAAGAAGCTGCCAAAGGGCAGCTCCGGGCACTTGCTCCTCAGGAAGTTCTGCAGCTGAGAGCAGATGCTCCTGGCCAGCTGTGGAGCGAGGGATCCCTGTGCCTCGGGCAGGGCCAGCCAGCTGCTGTGGTGGGCAAGGAGCTTCTCCTGCAGCGTGAGGCAGCGTGGAGGGCTGGGCTCCACCCCAGGGGGCTCCGGAGGGGCCGTGGAGACACAAGGCTCTGGGAGAAGGGGACAGAGAAGTCACAGCGCTGAGCAGATCGTCTGCCACCTACAGCTTCCCCTGGGGGAGGGGTGAACTGGGTGCCCAGCTCTCAGCCCACCTCTCTGGATGTGAGGTTGACCTTGCCAAGAATGTTCACATCAGAGAATGTGATGTGAAGCCAAGGCAAAGCCCAAACTCACCCCAAAACCCAAGAGCAGCTAGAGGTGGGCAAACCAGGCCAAGGAGCACCAGCAGCCAGGCATGGGGCTTGCTGCCAGGTCCCTGCAAGTCTCAGCCCCACCGAGACTGCTCAGGCAGAACCACCCTGCCCCGATGTCTGCCCGGTCCTGCAAACAATCCTGGTCCAGTATCTGAGGACCTGCCCTGCTCCAGGCTGGGCTGCTTTCCCACTGGGAAAAAGCCATCAGCACAGGCAGCAGGACAAGGCAGCCTTTGTCCATGGGGCTCCCGGGCTCCGTGGGGCTCCCTCCGGGCAGGGCTGACCCAGAAAACAGCCCAGCCCACACCCCTCCAGAGGGAACGAAGCCCCGGCAGCCTCCACCACGCCACGGTGGCCCCGGACGTTATCGGAGGTGCCACCACCACAGGCATTGCCTAAAAAGGGGACGTGGCTCAGGAGCCTCCCAGGGGGGAGGGCACAATCCAGTTGGCTGTCTGGATACCAAGCTAAAAATAACACGGGGAGGGGTGGCCCGGGCAGCCAGGAGCACACCAAGGGGATCTCCCCGACGGTGGCACACCCACCGGGAGCCTCACCTGGAGCCGGCGGCGGCGGCGCCGGGGAGAGCAGAGGGGCGCTGAGG